TCAAAGTCATTAGCCGTTAGAGAAATGCAATTAAGACTACAATGAGATCCACTACACCCCAAATAAAATGGCTAAAATAAGTACTGACATTCCAAGTGCTGACAAGGATGCGGTGTGACTGGAACTATCCTATAATGCTGGTGAAAATGCAAAATGATATGGCTAGTTCAGAAAATGGTTTGGCAGTTTCTTACCAAGTTAACCATATAGCTGCCACATGACCTAACAGTACTACTTCTGGGTATTTAGTGTAGAGAAATGAGTGGAAAAACTGTACTGTAGTACAGCAGTCATATGAAATGAGGTACTGATACAATACAGATGAATCTCAAAGGCGTTATGCTGACTGAAAGAAGATAGTCTCAACAGGTTATATAATGTTTCCAATTATCTGGCACTGCCTAAAGGACAAAGCTATCGTGCATTCCGTCCCCAAGGTTTTGTCTTTGTCATGAATTCTTCTGGTGGCTATATGCATGTGTGGCAGAAGGAAGGTATCTATTTATATTTCCTTTTTCTTTTGGGGACAACTAGTTGTCCCAGTCTCATTTATTGTATCGTACATTCTTCCGGCACTGAATTTTTTTCTATTGAAATATATTTGACATATAACGTTATGTAAGTTTAAGGTGTACAACATGTTGACTTGATACATTTATATACTGTAATATGATTGCCATTATAGTGATAATTAGCATCTCTATGTCACATAATCACTTCTTTCTTGTGGAAAGAAGTACCCCCACTCATTTTAATGCCACACATATTGTATGTTTTCTCAATAAATGTATGGGTATGTTTCTGAGCTCTCTATTCTACCTCTGGGTCTTTTTCTTTATCTATCTCTACAACAATACCACGCTGCCTATACTGTTAACAGTTGTAAAATACACCCTTACTATCTGATATAGCAAGTTACCCTTTTCTTCTTCAAAACTGTTTACCTATTCTTAGCCTTCTCTTCAACCTAATTCAACTTTCTCTCCAACTAAATGGACATCCAGAGCACTCTAGATCAAACTGCTAGCTATTAATTTTAACTAATTCAAACCATTGGTAGATGTCTGAACTCAAAGAATCCTACCTTATCTTCTTTCGGTCAACAGGACAAATGTTATTCCCATTTCATCAATGAGGAAACGCAAGGAGCCAAGCTAGTACCAGAAATAGAATTTCTGATCCTGAGTTTAGTGCTCTACACAGGAGCCAACGTGGATCCTCAGGACTCTGTTTACTTTTAGCCATGTAAAAACCACCTGTCTCCCCGGGTGGAAAAACAATGCAAATTCCCTGACCATGCTTCACCAATGGGACTTCCAAGATATTACAAAAACTGAGTATCAAGCCAGCAATAGAAAATAAACGAGGCTGTAAGTGAAGAAAAGACCAAAAAAAAAAAAAAAAAAAAAAAAAAAAAAAACAAACCCGAAAAACCAAAAAACAAAAACAAAAACCCACAAAATTTCAACTATTTTCCCTTATGATTAATAAAAGCCTAGCATCCATTTTAATTGGGCATCACAGTTAATTATAAAATCAATTAATGTTTACTGACAGGTTTTTCAAAATTAAAATTAACATCCACTTTAAAAAATCTCTAGGTTGCATAATGAAATACTGTCAAAATCAGTTATAGTTAAAATATGTTTTATAACTACAAAAATATACCTATTCAGAGAAAGGAATTATAAACATCAGATAATTGAAAGCATAATTTTATTAACACTTTAGAAAAATAGTGACACAGAGTTTCTAAGAATCCGCATGTTCATTTCCTGTATGTGAAACAACAGAAGTTTAAAATAGTTTATAACATGCATTTACTTTGCTAACTTTTTTGAAAATCATTGTGCTTTCTCCCCCTCTTTTGGCTGGTAAGTGGAGTGGGAAGAAGATTGTTTTTCCAAACTCTCTAACAAGTTTTAAATATTTAAAAATAGACTCCAGTAAAAAAAGAGAGTATTTTCAATTTATCTGCCTATCTTTATAGTGCTTGTCATAACTGGTCACAGTGCACTTACATTATTTTCCATAGGTAGGCCCAATTTACAGGTGGAATTTTTCTAAAGTGGGTTTTTCCCTGCCTGCATTAGCCACATTCTAGCCCACTTTGCCACCCAAAGATGTTGGCAGACTCCTGGCAGAGGTTTCGGAACATTCTGCTGCTGATAAAAGAGAAACCACCACCCACTCAAAATACCAACTGCCAGCTGTTCAGTTTTACATTTTGGTTAAGAAAAATTTAAAGAAATTCAAGTCACTCTTCTTTCTCTTTCATCCACAAATCCACTATCCCATAGCTGGACCTACACAGAAATATCGTGACTACTGACACACCATAAATTTCTTTAAATATGCTTTTTTTAATGTTTGTTTATTTTTGAGAGACAAAGAGACAGAGACAGAGATAGAGACCGTATGCACATGCAAGTGGGGCAGGGGCAGAGAGAGAGGGGGCAGAGGATCCGAAGTGGGCTCTGTGCTGACAACAGTGAATGTACATGGGGCTCGAACTCATGAACCGTGAGATCATGACCTGAGCTGAAGTGGGACACTCAACTGACTACGCCACCCAGGTGCCTCTGTCCTTAAATATTAACAACCTAGTTTAAATTTTATTGTTCAGGCATACTAACTGTATTAATTAGTACATAATGTTAACAGATACATATGGAACCAGAAAAATAAAAAAGCATAGTTATGGCTTCCTTAGAAACTTTTAATCTAGGGGCGCCTGGGTGACGCAGTCGGTTAAGCGTCCGACTTCAGCCAGGTCACGATCTCGCGGTCTGTGAGTTCGAGCCCCACGTCGGGCTCTGGGCTGATGGCTCAGAGCCTGGAGCCTGTTTCCGATTCTGTGTCTCCCTCTCTCTCTGCCCCTCCCCCGTTCATGCTGTGTCTCTCTCGGTCCCAAAAATAAATAAACATTGAAAAAAAAATTAAAAAAAAAAAAAAAGAAACTTTTAATCTAAAGAAATCAAGAAAGAGTGCATGTAAATTACATATAAAAATAAGCATCTTTTATCGACAATATATTTCTGCATTTGAAAGCGTAGAAAATTTTTTACGGTCTTTGAAAATGACGGAATGAACACGTTTGAAGCTTTATGAAGAAGATAAATTTGTTTTTAATGTTTATTTAATTTGAGAGAGAGAGCGCAAGCGGGGGGGAGCCAGAGAGAGAGGGAAACAGAGAATCCCAAGCAGGTTCTGTGATAGCAGTGCAGAACCTGACACAGGGCTGGAACTCACGACCACGAGATCTCATGATCTCATGATCACGAGATCATGACCTGAGTCGAAATCAAGAGTCTGACGCTTAACCAACTGAGCAACCCAGGCACCCCTGAAGAAGATAAAATTTTAAAATTGGAAGAACAGGATTTAAAAGGACATAGGAGAATTTTTTTTACCTTAGAATTGTAGCTAAATATAAGTTGCATATAGGTGGAGGTTCAAACAGGTATGACAAGTCAAGGAACTAACCTAATCTAAACTGGTTATTTATAACCTATGGGCCAAGGAGTCATTGGAAGTTACATGGATGTACACGCACCCAGTACAATCTGTAGTCTAAAATAATTTGCTCACCCACTTATTTCTCTGTTTTTCAAATGTAGACAGATACTAGTAAAATAAAATAGCAAATCACTTAAAAGTTTAAGTTTTTTTTTCCCATTATGCATAATCTCAACCAACAAATACTAAAAGTACAATTACTTCTGTGTTAGGAGTACAGTTTCTCATGTTCAAAACGGATCAGGGGCCTTTAACATACAAGGTTCCTTCTGGCTATTTAAGGGCACTAAGGACTTCTATCATTAATCTTTAGAACTTGTATTTACAAGTATACATATTTACAAATGTGTACACACATGATATGCCTGCTATGTACATCCAAATCATGCCTGCTATACCCCCAGGCATTGGACCAGCTTTTGTTACAAAGATGAATAAGACAGGATTCCAGACTCAAGCTCAAATTGATACAGATACATGAACAAATAATACAACCTAATAAATACTGCAGAGCTGTTTCAAGTGCCCTGGGAGCACAATGGCATTATTAATGTCACCTGGGGGAGTATGAGAAAACAAGGATCTATGAATTCGGTCTTGACAGGTGGGGCATGGGGTGGAGAAGAAGAGTTAGCATTCTAAACAGATGGTACAGCACACACAAAGGCACAGAGTTGTGAAAGTGCATGACATGTTTGGGGAAAAACAGTTCTCTCTTATGAGTGGATATCGAGGTATTTGGAGGAGAAGAGGAGAGGAAAAAGATAAAATGAATTGGGATAGATAGTAAAAGGCCCTAAATGATATGCCTCACAATTAAGACTTAATTCCATCAGCAATATGGTTACTGACAAAGTTTAAGGACTGACATAAACGGATTTCAGAATAACTGTATGGAAGGATGAAGGTGGAGAAACTACTGGGGGAGGGTGGGTAACTGCAATAATTCTGGTGGAAGAAATAATACAGTTCAGTGCAAGTGGAAATGCAGAATCAGGGACAAAGGTTTCTAGTTTGGACAGAGGGATGGATACTGGTACCATTATGAGAGATGGGATACATTGGAAAGGAAGAAAACCAGGAAAAGAGTAGTATTCCTGAGAGGGCAGTTTTTCAAGAGACAAGAAATGGTTATAGGCACGATATATCCTGCAAAGCGGTAAACTCAAAACCGCAAGAGTCCCTCTTCCCTCCTCTCAATGGTCAGCACCCAGGTGGGTTTAGGCAGGAAGAAAAAAGAAACGGAAAATGCGTCCACACAGGGTTACGGCCAAAGCTTCAAGAAACTTTCCGCACCTCAGACCCGGAAAGAGGAGCTCACAACTGAGGCCGGGAAAAGGAAGAAGCGGGTAACCAGCGCAGGGAAGCGGCTAGGGACAGGGGGCAAGCAGTTCAAGAGGTGGAAAGCACCAGAGCGGCCCAGGGGAAGGAAACTTCCGACTCCCTTTGCCCGCTCATGTCCCTGGATTTATTCCACTTACTCTGGTCTCAATCCCTCGCAGCCGTCAGCAGTGGCGTTAGGACTCAAAGCCTCTGCTAACAGGGACCTACGCACCCACGGGAAGAGACTCCGCTCGTCTGTTCACCTTCTTCAGCGAGCAGACTCAGGACCCAGCAGAGACCATCAGTGGAGATGCGGCTGGAAAGGTCAGCGGAGCTCAGCCCCATCACTGGCCGGAGGTAAACCTCCGCGGACCGCCTCGGACCTGCACGCTCAGAGGACCCAAACCTCGCGAGATTTCCTTCCTCACGTTACGGTGGGGGCAAAGCCAGAGATTTATTTGCGGGTCTTTGCAGACATGCGCGAGAGGTGGAGGCGGTTCCCTTCTACGTCCCTCCCTATTAATCTACTCAGGCTGTCGCTTGGCTTCTCGCAAAGTGTCGCGAGTTTTGACAGGGGAAGCCGGCCTGGGTGGAGAAACCGAGAAAGGGAGGCCGGGTGGAGGCCGGGTGGGAGGGCCTTGCGTTAAGAGAGCGTGGCTGGCTTAGGCGGTGCTGTGGTTGGTACTTCGCTGTTGTGGAGTCTCTATGGTCGCCCGGATCAATCTTCCCAGTGGGTTATTGGGAAAATTAGCCGGTAGAAAATCTTGAGCGTCGGAGGCATTTTTTTCTTGGCTCCGCCCTCTTCCTGTTCTGCGAGCTGGGCGTCTGGCCCACCGAGGGGGAAGGGCAGCTTGGCGGGGCTGTGGAAGAGGGCTTTGCGCACGCGCGAGTCCGAGTGTGTGAGTGTTTGTGTTCACGCGCACGCGCGCGCGCTCTTGCATTTAGGAAGCCTGGGAAGGACCGGTGTGCTAGGAGATGAGCGGGGAAAGCATAGTTCCCTGTCTTTGGTACCAGACACTCCTGACTGTGCGCTGACCCTCCCCACCCAGCCAGCAGCCTTTTCCAGAGAGGCTGTGGTCCATAGCCTCTGTTCGTTTTCACTGCAGGACCAGGCACGAAAGTAAGCAAACCTCGATCATGAGGTCTTCCCTATTCACTCACCTTGTACTTTCCACCCCCCACTCTCCAGCAGAATGTGACTAGGTTTCTCAAAGAAGAGTTTGCATGAAGGGGAAATGTGTTTGAAAGCAGAAGAAAATAGCTAGATCGTAAAAAGTCAGTTCGGTTTGATGAACACTTTGCTTACCATGTGCTTTTTGAATGTGGATTGTCTATTCAGTATAAGGTTTTATTTAGCGAAGCAAGGGAGTTTTTATAAGAAAAAGTTTAAAAGTTTCTCCTCTCCAGCTCTGTGAATGGTAGCAACTAAGTTTTCTGTTCTACATGGTAAATTACCATGGTGTTTCAAATACTAAGGGGGAAGAGTTTGAATTTGGGGTCTTTATCCTAATGCGAAGACCCGATATGCAGTTGTCGTAGGAGATGTTTTTTATATTTGGGGCTTTCCTTTTGCTGTCACTCCCCTTTCCTGTTAATTCTGGCTCCCCTCATCCTTTTTCAGAAGTCTTAAGACTTTTTGGAGGGAAGCCCAAAACTACTGACTTGGGTTAGTTTGGGGGTTTGTGTGTGATGTCAATTAGGAAGAATCATTAGAAGTGTATTTGAAGAGGATTTATCATTTGTTATGTTTGGTATTATGGAAGGCAATCGACCACAGTTATTTGTAAGCATTTTTTCCTGACAATTTTAAGTTCATTCAAAAAGCAAAATTTTGTATGGACTGTAATTTTGTCTGTGACTGATAGAGTGACAGCTTAATATGGTGTAGCTTATCCCTCGAATTGATAGCTACTTTCTAGTCATGACCTCATTAAATCTTGTTAGATAAATTTCTTTGAATACTGATTATTCATGTACCCTACCAAATCTTTTTGAGGAAGAGACACTAATTAGGAACAATTTAAGGATATTAAATGTCATGTATAAGACATTTGGCTAATATATTTTATCCCTTACAGGTTAAAACAAAATGAAGATTTTTTCTGAATCTCATAAAACAGTATTTGTTGTAGATCACTGCCCTTACATGGCAGAATCATGCAGACAGCATGTCGAGTTTGATATGCTGGTGAAGAATAGGACCCAAGGAATCATCCCTTTGGCCCCCATATCTAAATCCTTGTGGACTTGCTCAGTAGAATCTTCCATGGAATATTGTAGAATAATGTATGATATATTTCCTTTCAAAAAGCTGGTGAGTGTGAAGTACAAGAAAAATCATGATTTGGGGGGATGGACTTAACTGCCTGTTACATTTTTTAATATAAGAATTTACTATAGATTTAACTTGAAACTGTTTACTACTTTAAAAATGTGGTATTTAGAACTCTTCTTTGCAGTTAATATGTTATGTATGTTTAATTGGGGCCAATAACCATCATAACAGCTAACAGTTATGGTGCGTTGACACATACCAGTCATATCCAAAGTATTTCATATTTATTAACTCCATTAATTCTCACAACAGTCCTATAAGGTAGCTACTCTAATTACTGGGACAATATTCGAAGTATATAATAACCTGAATAGAACAGGCACTGACCATTGAGAGCTATTGCTGGCCTAAGCAGAAAGGATGTGGGCTGTGGGCAATGTCAGATTGTGTTGGTGTGTACGATCTGAATATCAGCCGTGTTTATTATTGCCATGTTGGAGATGTAGAAACTGAGGTAAAGACAGGAAAGTTGTCCTGAGTCACACAGCTAGTTAGACACAGAACCAGAATTTGAACCTAAACAGGCTGGCTGCTCATAGTGTTAGTGAATGCACACTAAACTGCTGCAGGATTTGGCTGTTAGAAAGAAATGCTCTTAAGAATGCTAAGAGGAATTTGTTTTTATCCACAAGAAGAGAAATTGAAGATTGATAGATTCCAGATATGAAAATTACCTTCAGGTTTCATCATTTCAGCTATTTTATTTTGGGAGAGTCATTTGGTTAGCCACAAGTGGATGATTTGCTTTGTCTCATTTGGAGCAGCCTAGGCTGGGACCTAGCCAGTTCTTAGACTGGCACAGGCAGGGCAGTAACAGTAAGGCTGAACATAGAGAATCTATATATTCAGATATATTCCAAATTAAATGTAAGTGTTTTTAGTCCTTCAGTAAATTGTGCATTATGTAGGGTAAAAAAATACGAAAGGGAGGATAACTAGTCATTTAGGGTGCAGGCTTTGGTTCAAATTCTGGCTTCATCAGCTACCACAGTGTGACCTTGATCATATTGCTTAATTTCTCCAAGTCTGGTTCTTCCCATGTAAGCATAACACCTACTTCCTATGATGTAAGATTTCAGTGAGATACTGTAACTGAAGTGGCTAGTAAAATGTCCCTGTCAGGTAAGGCTTAGGAGAGAAGGCTACTTATCACATTTATTAGGGGTGCAAAACTAGTATTTCATGGATGGTAGGAAAAAAGATCATGGATTAGATGATATAGTCCAGAGGAAAGAAAGAATCTCACCCTCCTCCAAAAGAACATTCGTCATTTTATGTATTTTCTAATATATCCTTACTAGCATTATCATCTTCTGTGATAGTATTTTTTTGGTTTGCATTGAAGTCCAAATGCACTATTTTGACTTTCAATGCCTTTTGTGATATGGCTACTGCTTATTTCTCTGAGCTTTCCCCCGACCCCTTTGCCTGTTCTGACCTTTTCATCCTTTTGAGGCCTTTGCGTTTGCTGTACCAGGAATTCTCTATCCCCAGCTCTATTTATGGCTGTTTTCTTTTGGTCGTTTTGGATTCCCCCCAATTGCCACTATAGACCACCCAACCTAAAGTAGCTAACCAATTTCTTTTTCATAGCATTTGTCACTCACTGAAATAATCTTGTGCATTTGTTTGTTTGTATTCTTCCCATACTGCCCTCTGTCTTACCACTACCCACAAACCCCTGACTTTCCCCACATTGTGAGTGATACAACTTTCATTCATCACTGTATTTCCAAAACCCCAGTGCTGAGGATAGCACCTGGCAGATACTAGGCATTCTAGAACTATAAAGTGAATGAATGAATCAGCAAACCAGTTCTAGGAACTGCATATTATTTTAAATATGATGTGATTTCAGTGGAATTGGATGTGAATACTAATTCTGTCTTTGAAATCTATCAGGTGAATTTCATTGTGAGTGACTCTGGAGCACATGTTTTAAATTCTTGGACTCAAGAAGACCAAAATTTGCAGGAGGTATGGTTAGGTTTTGAGCTGTGGCCATTTTTGAAAATTATCTGAATGTGGTAATACTTTCTTGAAAGATGATTTAAAAGATTTTTTTTATCACTATAGTATTTGCACATAGTTTTAAAACAACTACTACTAAAGGAAAGCCAGCTATCTTCATTCTAGTCTTTCCCCAATTCCTAGAAGCAAACTTTCAACTCTAACTCATCTAGTATTTACTTCCATATTTCAAAATAACAAATTTTTACTGCTATTGATAGAATTCTCAATTTAAACTTTATTTTTTTATCATTATTGTTAGTGAGGAATTAACTTTTATATTCTCTGCCACCCATGCCCCTCTACCTCCCTTCTGCCGTTCCTTCATTTTCTCAGTGTTGTTATGTCAGAATTTTTGTTAATTCAAAATTGCATATTTGCATTATAATATCTATATAAAGTGTTACTGCTAAGCTAAGTAGTATATGTGGTTATTTCCTTTCTCTCTCTTTTTAGGTTTTATTGAGGTATCATAGCACTGTATAAGTTTAAGGTCTGAAACATAATGATTTGTCTTACATATTATTTCCTTTCTTGTGTGACTCTTTGTTTATTCTTACAGTTTATCATTTCCTTCTTAATTGCTCAATTTTATGTATATCTGTTGCTGCTTTTCCTCATGTTTCTACAAAACTTCCCAATATTTTGATCAGAAATGTAACAGCTTCGTTTTTTTGTCTTGAAAAACTTCTTGGAGCAGTCTTTTGCTCCAGTTTTAGCTGGCCGCTTAATAGGCCTGGTGCTTCTTAAACATTATGTGTCTAAGGATATTGGGTTTGTGGTAGCTTATGTTCTTTGCTATTGTTGGTTGGATGGAAGACTTCAGTTTACTGGTTTCTTTACTGATGAAGATGTATCTGAGAGACAGACATTAGTGAAATTTTTGAATACATTGTTTGAATTATTTCATGTTAAAATTCTTTGTTAATGGATGGTCTTCAGTGGAGATAATCTCATGTTGTAAATGTGTTTTAAACGGAACATTTTTAAAGAAAATGTGTTTATCCCAGTGTTTGGTCTTAAAATGTTGTGATTAGTATCATCATGTATGTAAACACATCTAACCCTTTATTCTTTTGAGGTAACTCACTCAAGCAGCAGGCTTTTATTGGTTTGGCTTTGCATTTATATCACTCCAGAATGTTCTTTATTCTTTTTTTTTTTTAACTTGAAAAAGTAATATTAAGGATTCTGTACATTCTCCTTGCATTTTCTTTTTGAAATGGCATGTGTTTTGCTTTACTTCTTTCAAGAGGTACTGTGAAAGAAGCTTGAAGTCTCTCTGTTGTGTATGAAAAAAAAATCAGTACAAATTGGCATAGGTTTTCCTTACTTCACCTCTGCGGTGCAGTAAAAGTTGTGCATCTCATAATGGCACATATACCAATGATAAGAGAATTGCTACTTCTCTCTGCTTTCTGAATGTGAAGGCACATTGTATCACACTGATTGTTTTTAAGTCGTGAACAGAAGGGGAAACTCCAGTCTAGTTCGGAAGGCAACTGTATAGCAGCTCACTGGTGTTTAAGATTATATGAAATAATTGACATGTTGTATAAATTATATATAAGCTTGCCTGTGTTAACACATTTAATGTTTAGCTTTGGTTATCCATGTCACACCTTTCCCTAGTTATTGTCAACAATCATGAGTAACAAGTGGAAGAGATCAAAGACAAATTTGGGGGCTAGAAGGATTTTAGATGTCGTTTGCTTCGACTCCTTCATTGTGCAGGTGAAGGAATGGAGCCCACAGGGGCTATATGTTGTTTGACTTCTATACCTGGGTCCAGGGCTCTTTCTGTTATAGCACATAACTCTATCCTACATATCTTAAATTTTATCACCAAAAATTGTCATATTTCAGGAGTTTGGGTCTGATTTTTGTTGGCTAAATTAAATCAAGTTTGCAAGTATTATACTAATGTGGGACAGGTTATATTAGTATTTTCACTTTTAGGTTAGGAGGAATTGACCAGGGTCACACAGCATTAAAAGGCAGAGCCAGAGTTTTAACCCATCTCTGTCTGACCTTAAAAGTTAAACTTGCTTTCTGCTACTTTCTTCAGGACCACAGAATCCCTCCCCTATAAAGGTACTTTTTATTGAGCTTCTCCTATGTACCAGAGACTTTATATAGTCGTTTATACACAGTCTTTTTTCTTTCTTTTCTGGTTACTTATTATGAATAGGTAATACCTATATAGTTTAGAAGTAAAATTTATATACATACACATGTACATATGTACACTTCCACATACATGTTTGTGTTAGTAAACGGGAAAACTTTCCAACTCATCCCCTGTCTCAATGAGTGTGCTGGACCCTGCTTACACCAACTTTGCATTCAGTGAATCTTGACATCTCCCATGGTGGGGGTATTTTATTTAACCATAGATACTGGCAAACACTACAGATTAGGGCTTTCCCCACACTTTGGGGAACTGATTTACTAGCACATCACTATTTATCTCCACCACTATTAGTTTTTCATGGCTCATTCCAGAGTGTCTTTATGCATATACAAAGCAAAGTTCTTCCATCTTGTTCCTTTTCAAGATTGTTTCGGTCATTTTCAGTCCCTTGCAATTCCATATGAATTTAGAACCACCTTGTCCATTTCTACAAAGCAGTCGGCTGGGATTGTGACACAGATTATGTTTAATCTGTAGTTCAGTTTGAGTAATGTTGCAATTTTAACAATATTATGTCTTCCAACTCATGAACATGGGATGTTTTATATCATTTAGATCTTTAATTTCTTTCAGTGATGTTTGTAGTTCTCAAGAGTATAAAATTTGCATTTCTTTTGTTGATTTTATTCCTAAGTATTTTATTTTTTTGATGCTATTATATTAGAATTGTTTCCTTTATTTTCGGATTGTCCATTGCAAGTGTGTAGCAATACAATTTGTGTTTGTGTATTGATCATGTATCCTGCAACTTGCTGGACTTATTATTTCTAACAGTTTTTTAGTGGATTCCATTTGACTTTCTACATACAAGATCACGTCATCTGTGATACAGAGATAATTTTACTTCTGGCTCCTTCTATTTCTTTTTCTTAATTGCCCTGGCTAGACCCACCAATACAGTGTGAAATAGAAGTGATGAGAGTGGACATCCTTCTTCTGTTCCTAATCTTGGAGAGAACATGTACAGGCTTTACTATGAAGCATGGTGTTATCTGTATGTTTTCTTAGATGCTATTTTCTGCTTGAGGAGTTTCCTTCTATTTGTAGTTTGTTGAGTATTTTTATCATAAAAGGGTCTTGGATTTTATGAAATGCTTTTTCTGTGTTTATGGAGATGACCGTGTGATTTTTAAAAATTGTGTTGGTATTGACATTAATTGATTTTTGGATGTTAAGTCAACTTTGCATTCCTGGGATAAGTCCCACTTTGTCATGGTGTATAATTCTTTTCATATGTTGCTGGATTTGGTTTGCTAGTATTTTGTTGAGGATATTTGTGTCCATATTTTTAAGGTATGCTGGTCTGTAGTTTTCCTGTGATGTCTTTGTCTGACTTGTACATACTCTTGTCAACATAATTATTTTCCCTTTTACTTAGCTAATGGCAGCATTAGCTGCTGTTGGGCCTCCTAATCCACGAGCAGATCCAGAATGCTGCAGCATTCTGCATGGTCTCGTTGCAGCAGTGGAAACCCTGTGTAAAATTACAGAATACCAACATGAGGCTCGTACTCTACTAATGGAAAATGCAGAACGTGTTGGAAATAGAGGACGAATAATTTGCATTACTAATGCAAAAAGGTGAGACATTAATCACAGTAATTCTTTCACTGAGGGAATTTTAATGTCTTGTTGCAGTTTTTACTTAAAAAAACAGGACAGCATGTTAGCGGTTAAGCATATCTCAGGTGGCCTAATACTGAAGCTGTATTTATCCAGTTCTTAAATAGTCATTTCAGTGAAAGCTGCTTAGATTGTCATCATATGGGTTAATCTGACTTTTTCTCACTAGTTTTTCAGCTGGCTGTTTGGTATTGTGAATGAGCATACTGAAGACCGTCCTCACTGAAGTAATTTTAAGTGCCTATCACAAGATACTACAGCTAAATAGTGTGTTTAATTTTTTCTCTTACTGTTTATTTAATTTTGTTCTTTTTTATGCCATAGTGATAGTCATGTGCGAATGCTTGAGGACTGTGTCCAGGAAACAATTCACGAGCATAACAAGCTTGCTGCAAATTCAGATCAGTGAGTATAATCATAAGTGAAATACATATTCCATTTTATAGTCATGTATTTCATTATAATTACTCCAATAATTTCAATAGTAATTGGTAGTATTCCCTTTAATTCTCTACTGGCTCTACTAGTTAGTCAAAAAATGTTTATTTGATATTTATGTGGGGAAAACAAAAATAGCTAACAGTTAATGAATCTAGGTTAAGGGTGTATGGGTATTCATTGCATAGTACTTTTCCTTTAGCTTTTCTGTAGGTTTGGAAGTTTCAAAATAAAAATTTTTCAAAAATTAAAAACATTTTCTTTTTTTTTTTTTTCAACGTTTATTTATTTTTGGGACAGAGAGAGACAGAGCATGAACGGGGGAGGGGCAGAGAGAGAGGGAGACACAGAATCGGAAACAGGCTCCAGGCTCTGAGCCATCAGCCCAGAGCCTGACGCGGGGCTCGAACTCACGGACCGCGAGATCGTGACCTGGCTGAAGTCGGACGCTTAACCGACTGCGCCACCCAGGCGCCCCAAAACATTTTCAAAATAAAAGACTTCTAGCATTGAAAATCCTATGTTCTTAGAAATAACCATTTATAGGTAATGGTTAGGATTGCCTGATTTTGTCCTTAAAAATCATTAGTAAAAAAAAAAAAAAAGGAAACAAATGTGTAATATATTCATTTTCTCTGTGGTAGTTATCTATGGAAAATTTTCCTGATTATAGGACATTTTCCTTTATTCTGTTTTTCAAACATACAAGAAAGTATCATATGTGCATTTGAATTAAATTCATATATTTACTAAATGTCCATACAAGTACAGCAATTATACAGTTTTTCTAAATATTTAGCTTTTGTGTTAGTTAACAGTAGTATCTGATTATAGAGATGCACTGTTTTAGTATATTAAACTCTTAATAGTCTACCTACCTGGTTTCTTTACATACTATGTGTTTTTAGATTCTAAATGAAAAGTTTCTCTTTAAGTCTCATGCAGATTCAGAAGTGTGAACTGGTCTTGATCCATACTTACGCAGTTGGTGAAGACAGCCTTGTGTCTGATCGTCCTAAAAAGGAGGTAAGTGCAGAAGTAATGGAAGAAAAGATCATTGTCATTTATTAATAATAAATGCTGAGAAGGGTTAGCATAAAAATAATCACATTGCCAACATTTTCTGCCAAGAAGATATTTAGAGTTCGCAAAGCCATCTCTGTGGCAAAACACCTAGTTGGGTTCTTCATGTTATAATTGTAGATTTTAAAGTGTTTTCTGTTTTGCTTGCCTATTGAAGTTTAATTAAATGTGTTGCAAAACCGTACATAGTGTGTATTGATGCTAAAATTTCAATTACTGTAATGGATTTCATTTGCTTTAATAACTTTTTATTGTATAAAAATCTTTTTTTCCTCATTAGAGGAGTAATACACTTCTTAACAAAAATAGACTCTAATAACAAATTAATTTTACCTATCCAGAGGATAAAAAGCTAAAGCTAACTTTTAATCTTGCTTTTACTTTTTAAATAAATTTGAACAATTTTACAGGAAAAAATGGGTCTGTTGATTTTCAAATGGATTTGCATCATGTAATATTCTCCCATCAGTGGTCTGTGTTTAGAAATATAGATGTGTATATTTATATAATTAAACACGTATGTTCTTACGTTCTGTTTTTTCTCTTAGCCTTAGTTAATATAAACAGGTGAAGTATTACCTTAGTCTGAATGTTTTGTAGTTAACTGGTATTTTTAGGTCTTTAGCTCTTTCATTGTGTTTTTAGGTGGTTTCCAGTGTAAACCCCTTTTCTGTTAACTTTTTTCTGCCTCTTTCGATAACATGGCAGTTTGTTGGCTTTCTTTGTAATAACTAAACATTTATTTGTGACAGATGTTATAGGTATAATAAGTATGATAGGTAGTATATACAAATTATATATAAGATATATGTATGCATACACTTTATCTTGCCATAAAGTAACTTTTGGCTGCCTGATCGCATTTATTCGTGATGAAATATGTTTGTGGCAGTTCCCGTATTCTTTATAATAAGCAGTTTTATCTGCAGGTGTTTTTCCTCTCCATAAAATTACTTATTTTCTACAGTATTTCTGTGGGCCATTTCAAATCCATTTTGCATATAGATAAATAGAAGTAAAAATTGTAAGTTAAAATAAATATTTGAATCGAAGACTTGCACTCTGAGTGTCAAGATGAAAAGGACTTTGCCTATTTACTGCTGTATCCTCTAATAGCTCATGTAGTTTCTGGCATACAATGTAGTAAGGTCTGCTTAGTTCCTGTCTGTTGAATGAATAAATACATGAACATTTCTTGCTAAAATAATAATCATAGTTAATTTATGGGCTTTTTTACTTTTTCCAAATTCCAAAAACTAAAAATATTTAATATTTATAGACTGAAGTAAAATATTTGACACCAGGTCACAATGTATTAACGTTGGTTTTTTTTT